CCCCAAAAGGTTTTGAGGTCACTTTGCGATGTGTTTTGTTTCTATTACCTATTATTATTATTATACTTATTATTATTATTTAATAACAAAATTTGAGAAATATCATAAATCATATGGATTTTATAACAAGTCTATATCAGTTAGCAATCACACAATTAACCTTAACAACTACTTGAAGGACAAACGAAGAGACAAGAATGTCAATACATTTCAGTATACCTCAATTTAATGCATTTTCCCAGTCAGAAAAGATCATTTTAACCATCCACTGCTTGTTTTTGTTTTGTTCTTATTTTTGGTGGTCTTCAAAAAAAAGTATGAGTCAAGAAGTATTGGTTGTACACAGCAAGGTATTGATAAAAGCCATTAGAACAGGTCAGAAACCATGCATCACATTGTCGCTGTTTGCTAAAAGATTAAACGATCAATTAATTTAAACACTTCATTATCACATGTTCATTTTCTTTGCAGTCTTCAATCATGCCTTGTACACAGTGCGTGGAATAAGCTGAGCCTCGTACCTGCATCAGTGGATCCTTTCACAGAGTCAGACGAGCTGCAGAGGAGCTCCTCACTTCAGAGTGAGCGTTTGCAAACAAGCCCGTTTGTCATGTGTGGCAGGCAGTTTTAACTGAAGCACAAACCCTCCTGTATGCTGACTTCTTCTTCTTCTTTCCTGAAAATTTATTGTCTGTCTCTTTCGTTCTCCTTACTTCACAAACACAGGAAATTACGTCTGAGAACATGAATCTCAATCATAAAATATTTTACCGACTGCCATCATTTTTGACAGGGTCAGAACCACATCTGATTTGATTTATGAAAGGACTTTACTTCAACCTCTGTATTTATCAGCAGCAGCAAGTAAACATTTTCATAATGAATCATGCATTTTATATGTTTTAACTTAATATTATTGTGCATTATTCTTAATTAATAATGCAATCTTGGTTATATTATGTTGTTGTACATCTGACTTTGCAGTCATTTCTAAGTGTGGACAAGAGGAGTTAGAGTTGTGGTTTTAACACCTTATGATAAATACTGTTCAGAAATAATTATTACTGGAATCAATAACAGATATATTTATATTAAATAAAATAGGAATTCAGAATTTCAGAGCTTGAGGCTGGTTTATAAGAGATGTTTTAGTTTCCTTACCTCGCTGGATTTCTTCAATAAAAAATACAATAAAAAGCTGAATAAGCAGGATAATAGGAAGCTTGTAGGAGATGGGCAAAGAATGTGCATTTAAGAAAAAGGAGGGAGAAAGTGGCTGCAGACTCAGGGTTTATCTGCAGCTATTGTGCACTGCATCACCTGGATCTACAGGTAATGGTGTCAGAGAGATGACACAGGGGAAAGCACAAAACTGGACTACAAAATTATGAAATCTTTGCTAGATATAAATTTTGCCAGTGACCTCATGACCATATCATTGATCATGTCCAGACTGCATGCAGTGCAGCTGATATTTTTAGAGCTCTCAGTGAATGTCCCCTTGTGCTTATGCTTCTGCTCTGCATGCTGGATCTTCTCCATTGTGTCAAAAAACAGAGATCCTACTAGTTTAGGGATGAAGCTGCAAGGATGCACGTCTAGAAAGTAGGGCAGCGGAATCTGCTGGTTTTAAATGCACGCACTACAATATTTTTCCAGCACATTCCATACTTTATATCATTTCTGCTGAATGTTCAACTCTCGACCACTTAGGCATGAATAGGATGCTCTCTGCAGTGGTGACAGTCTTACCCTGAGAAAGCAA